GTGGGTGGGCCCTGAGCCTGGGGTGGGGGCGGGGCACAGCTTCAGGGAAGTCGGTCTCACAGAGCCACGTGTTTGCAGATCCAGCCTGACTTGCGGGAGCTGATGGAGACTATGCACCGCATGAGCCACCTGCCTCCTGACTTCGAGGGCCGCCAGACGGTCAGCCAGTGGTGAGTGTATGGCCCTTCCTGGCAGTCCGGGGAGGCCCTTGGTGCACACCCTCCAGCGCTGTGCCCCCACCTCCCCAGGCTGCAGACACTGAGTGGCATGTCTGCCTCCGATGAGCTGGACGACTCTCAAGTGCGCCAGATGCTCTTCGACCTGGAGTCGGCCTACAACGCCTTCAACCGCTTCCTGCATGCCTGAGTCCCGTGGCCTCCCTGCCCCAGGTGCACAGAGCAGGGGGCTTTCAGTCCAGCCCAGTGGGAGCCACAGCCTCCCAGGATGATTTCTGCTTTCCTTGGACCCCTGGACTTTGCATAGCAGCCCTGTCTGTGTGTCTGTCCACAGTGTCTTGACCCCCCTCCCCACAATAAAGATGTTTTCTAACCTTCCTGCTGCTGTGGTCACCCACCCAGACCTGCCTTGCATGTTTGCCTGCCCTCTGGGCCTTGTGTGGGATCCTGCCGTCTGAAACACCCAGGTTTTAAGCACCGTTAATCAGGGAAGGGCCTGGGTGCCACTTTAGGGGCAGCAGCCTCCCTGCTGGGCACTGCCTGGACAAGCAACAGGAGTGATCAAGCCTCCACCTGGCCCAGGTGTGGCAGCTGCCCAGGCCAACAGCAACAAACCGTGAGACCAAGGCTCTGGATTCCAAGATGCATTGTTTCACCTTTTAGCAACTGTGACATTGGATAAGGGACAAGCCAGAGCTTAATTATCGCATTTTGTCTTTTTTAATGGTGCTTCTTGCCATCTATGGCAACTAGAGGCAGTGAAAGAAGACATCTTACTTGTGTTTTACGAGGGAAAGAGCAGAGACAGGGTGACAGAGGGTGGGGGGTCTCAGAGCCAGTGTCTGCCAGAGGGTTCTGGGCATGGACTGTGCTGAGCAGTGTACCCATAGTGTTTGTTGCTGGGCTGGATGTGGTGGAGAGGCAGTCCAGGATGATACCGCATCTTGGTGCCTGAGTGGTGCAAGAACTCCTGTAGAAATGTGGACACCTGCAGTGAGCAGGGGATCCGTGAGGGTGAGGCCAGAGCCCAGTTTGCACAGGGCAAATTGGACTTGTCTTTCTGACCATCCAGGGGAGTTGTCAGGTGGGTGGCTGGACATGAGAGGCTGCCTTAACAGAGGGAAGCATGCAGGATGAAGGCTCAGTGTCTCCTGGGCTAATGCCTACAATCATGGGTGCCCAGAATTCTATCCAGTAGGTCTAAGGTCTGTGCTTGGAGACTGGGGATAGAAAGGCCAGCAAAAGAGTTGAAGGGGAGCCCTGGCTCAGGGAGGAGATCCAGAGAGGCTCCAGGCAGTGGAAGAGCCACTGGGCCCAGGGAGACTGAGACTAGGGAAAGCAACCTTGGGTCTGGCCTGTGGGGCTGTCAGTGACTTGACAAGAAGGACCTTCTGGGGAGCCTGGGAGAGGCTGCCAGTTCCAGAGTCCCCAAGGTGTGCTGAAGGGGCAGAGGACCAGGGAAGTTTGTTCTGGTCTATTTTTCTTTTTTAATTGCAATAAAATATATAAAACATCAAATCTGCCTTTTTAAACTTCGGTGGCATTAAGTATATTTGGTGTGCAACAGTTGCCACCATTTGTCTCCAGAACACACTTCATCTTCTCAAACTCAAACTCTCCCCATTAAACTTCCTGTTCCTTTGCCCAGCCACTGGCACCTACCATCTTACTTTCTGTTCCAGCATTTTGACTAGTGCCTCATGTAAGTGGAATCCGATAGTATCTGTCCTTTTGTGACTGGCTTATCTCACTTAGCATCATGTCCTCAAGGTTCATCCATGTAGCATGTGACAGTTTTCTTCCATTTTAAGGCTGAATAATATTGCATCAAATGGAGAGACCACATTTTGTATGCGAGCGAGGTGAGCAGGAGAAAGAAACCCTTAACCCCAGGCCCAGGACACTGCCCTTATCCTGAAGCCCTGCCCTAGGCACTACAGGACACTGGGGACAGAGTTCTTGGACCTGGGCCCCCTGTTCCCCTGGAGCTTCTCCCCCACCCCAGCCACACTTCCCAGAGTTCTGGATCAGGGGTCTGAGGGTGTTGAACCAGGTTGGAGGGAGCTGCCCAGGGGCTCCCTCCAGAAAACAAGTCTGATCTGAAACCTGGGCAGGGGTGTCGGCTGGCTCCCTGGGGCCTGCCCCTTCCCCCATGTGCCAGCTAGGCAGAGATAAGGCCAGGGGTCAAAGGTCTCAGAGGGAGGCTCTAGGGAGGGGCAGGGGCAGGTTTCTCTCACTCAGCATAATGTGCCAGAATTCCCCGTGCTTTTAAGGCCGAGTAGTACAGTATTCCACATTTCATTTATCCATCTGTGAATGGATACCTGGTTTGTCCACATTTTGGATGCTGATGAAACCGGACAACGAATGGGTCTGAGCTCTGAGCTGCCTGTTGCTACTGGAGCCAATTAAGCAGAGACTGGGTTGAATCGTATATGAGCCTTTTATTTCCAGTATTGCTGGCAGCATGGGAGAGCTGCAGGTCATCCACAAAAACCTGCTCTCCCCACCACCACCACTGTGAGCCAGCTGCTTATATTGGATGGAAGGACACAGGTTACACGGGGAAGTGGGCAAAGGAATAAGAATGGATATAATAGTTACAGGTTACAGAAAATGCAGGCTGGGGGTTTGTAAAGGGCTGACACCCACGGGACTCTATTGTTTCAGCAGCAAGGCTGTTGTTAATCTTCCCATGAAGACAACAGTAAGGACGAAGGACCACATTGGTCCCCAATGTGTGGCTCCAGCCAGGTCGGAATGTGCTTTCTCTAATCAGTACAAAATAATCACGGTTAACAGAGCATGGTTAATATTTCTCATAATTACAGCTAGACCCCACTATTCTTTTTTTATTTAATCTTTTTTTAAATTTTTTTATCCTCACTCAAGGATATTTTTTCCACTGCTTTTCAGAGCAAATGGAAGGGGGAGAGAGGGAGAGAGAAAGAGAGGTAGGAGAGAGACACATCGATTGGTTGCCTCCCAACCAGGGATTAAGCCTGCAACCAAGGTCTGTGCCCTTGGCCAGAACTGAACCCTGGAACGTTCAGTCCGCGGGCCGATGCTCTAACCACTGAGCCAAACCTGCCAGGGTGTCCCCACTGTTCTATTTCTCCCTCCTGTCCCTAACACTGTGCATAAAGCTGCTATGGACATGGGTGTATGTTTGAAGACAGGAGTGAATACAATGCGTTTATTAGATGATGGCATGATGCCAGTGGGACCTGGGGATGAAGGAGAGGGTCTGGCACCCATTAGACAGCCCAGCACCAGTCCAGGGATAGCTGATGATGCTCTGAGCGAGGGAGAGGGCACTGGCAGGAAGAGGGTGGGGGCTGGAGGAAAGTGGACCAGCCCTAAGGTCCACTGAGGCCTGAGAGTCTGCCAAGGGGCCTGCCAGCATGAACCAGACCTTCAAGGGCTCAGGCAGGACAGGAAGGCTGGGCTGAGACCTTTGTCTGGAAGCTAACAGACCCCTGAGCAGTGGGTGGCCTGAGCTGCAGCCTGGTCCCTGGGCTCCAGCCAGCCAGTGGGTCCTGGCACAGGAGGGATGGAAAAAGGCCAGTTTGGGCTCAGCCTTCAGAACTGTGTTAAGGGAGCTTGAATCCAGCTTCCTTCCTCATTGACCCAGGTGTCCAGGAATCATCTGAACCCACCAGGCTCTTTCTGTCCCCTCACCCCACCCCTGCAGATGTCACCCTGTGGTATTGCCCTTGGACCTGCACTCCCTGCTGTCCTGGAGCTTCACTTCCCCCACCCCAGCCACACTTGGCAGGGCTCAGGGTCAGGGATTGGCTAATCAGGGGGGCCGCCCAGAGGCTCCTTTCACAAGGCAAGGCTGCCCCTTCCCCCAGGTGCCAGCTCTGCAGAGATAAGGCAAGGGGTCAAAGGTCTGAGAGAGAGCCTGCAGGGAGGGGCCAGGGCAGGTTGCCACACCCAAGAGGCCCTCCCCAGGTGCCAAAGGGGAATCAACCCAGGTTCCCTGTGGGGCTTTGGCCATTTCCTGAGGAATTTTCCCGGGAGGGTCTAGGGAAGGTGAGTATGACTTAGTGGTTCCCCTAGACTCCAGCCCACCCCCAACAGGGAAACCACAGCCCAGGGCCCAGGAGGAGAGGGCCCCACATTCTCAAGGCTCTGGGGTGCTTCAGCTCCCTGAACCAGGGAAGACCCCTAGGGAGGTATCCATGCTGCTCTGCCCCAGGCTCCCTTGCTTGGAGGCAGCCTCTAGAAACAGGGCTGTAGGAGGCAACATCCCAGGACCTTGGGGGAGCGGCAGGCAGGCAGGCAGGTGGATGCCCAGGTCACCAAATCCAGGGGAAGGGGCCCAGCCCTTACCCCAGCAGGCAACAGCTCCTGGATTTGGAGATCTGTGCCAGGAATGCTCAACTTCAAATGCCTCTTCAGACAGTCATGGAGCCCAGCAGGAAATGCCTGGTAGAGATTCTCACCTATCCCAAAACTGGCCCCAGGCAGCTCTCACCCCACAGGCAGTGGCTCCTCGTTTTGGGGAGGACCTGCCCCTGGAATGGTTAATCTGCGACTCCGCTGACAGCCAATCACAGAGCCCTTCAGGAAATACCTGGGAGAGATCCTGGGCCTAGCCCCAGTCCGGCCCCAGGCAGCCCTCTCCGCCCGAAGCCTTCCTCAGTGTGCCGGCCTCTTCAGAGTTCTGAGCATCGGAGGCCTGGGCATGGCGCTCTTGGCCTGGCATAAGCCGGGGCTGCTGCTGACTGTGTTGGTGGTGACCACAACGGCAGCCCCGCCTGCTCACCTGCTGACTTCGCTGTCTTCGGGCCAGGGTGCTCTGGACTGCATGGCTCTGGGTGGCCTGTTAAATACACTTGCGGCCCGTGTGCAGTGTGCCTCAGGGCCGTGTGGAAAGGTAAGTGCCCCACCCGGCAGGTCCCCCATCGGGCCCAGCCCTGCCTGCTCCACCCCAAGGGCTGGCAGCAAAGGGCTTGGGCAAACTCCAGGAGGCGGGCAGAGGCCAAATGGCCTGGTGCCCTGGCCCTGCCTGCAGCTCTAAGCCCACCCTTCTTCTCCCTGGGATGGGGGGCTATGATGGGGACATAAAGCTTTGGGAACCTAGGCCCATCTCTCTTGTTGCCCCCCAGGCAGTGGTTCCAGGGAGAAGCCACCTGGAATGGGGGACCCCTTCCTGGGACCCCTGTGGTACACCCCTGTAATCAAGGGGAGAGTGGGAGCCACTGATGAAGGGGTGTGGCCCTGTAGGGAAGCAGCTGCTTGGGTCTGTCTCCTGGCCCCTGCTCATCTGTCTCTGCCCACAGTGCCTATCTGTGGAAGACCTCCTGGCCCTGGGCAGGCCTGAGGAGCCAGGGCTGACCCCAGGGCCAGTCCTGGAGCCCGCAGACATCGCCCGCCTCAGTGCGGCTGCTGCCCTCTACCTCAGTGACCCTGAAGGCACGTGTGAGGACATTCAGGCTGGCCGCTGGGCCTCCCAAGCTGACCATCTTTTGGCCCTGCTCGAGAGCCCCAAGGCCCTGATCCCAGGCCTGAGCAGGCTGCTGCGGAGGATTCAGGTCCAGACCACTGGCCTGCCTACTGCAGAGGAGGTGAGGGCCCAGGCAGGCCAGTCTAGGGTGGGTGAGGAGGGCAAAAGCTGGACCAAACGGGGATCGGAGAGGGGACCCACTCAGGGGTTTGCATCCAGCTGTGGTGAATAGAATGGTCTGCCAAGTTTTGCTGGGCACCTGGGGGAATCTAGGGACACACTCAGAAGGGTGGACTTGGCTGGGGGGTTACCATGGATGTTCACCACTGAGCATGGCAGGGGCTTCGGGAGAGGGGCCTTCATGGGGGACAGGGGCTGAGAGGCTCCAAGGGCCACCGGGAGAAGCCCAGGGGTGGCGGCACAGACCAGCTGAACCAAGGGAGCAGAAGGCCTATGGCCCCAGGGAGAGGAGGAGCCCAGCCCAGGTCTTAAGTGAGCAGGAAGGGGTGGTGCTCTGAGGAGGCTACTCTGGGCTAGATCCTGGGGTCACGGAACCAGGGGCACTAGGGGTGATGGTAGTGCTGGAGGCCAGGAGGGCCACACTGGAATTGAAGCTGAGGCCCGGCTCCTCCCCCAGGGCTGTGTGGACCTGCCTCAGCTGCTAGACGAGGTGGCGGGGGCAGGGCATCCCGGCGGCCCTGGCCCTGTGCTGGCTGCTCTGCTGGACCATGTCAGAAATGGGTCCTGCTTCCACACTCTGCCGAACCCTCAGTACTTTGTGGATTTCGTGTTCCGGCAGCACCGCGGTGACACTCCCAACATCACACTGGATGGTGAGGCCTGGGCAGGCCTCTGAGCAGGACATGCCCCTGGGGAGGGGAGAGCCAGAGCCCATGCAGACTGTTTCTGTCCTCTCTGCCAGAGTTGGCGGCCTTGATGCAGCGCCTGGGGGTGGGTGGAGTGGCCAAGACCCTTGGTGACCACAGTGACTACGATCACCACCATCATCTGGGAAAGAGGGCCAACCTTGCCACCACCAACAGCAGCTCCAGCATGTGGGACACAGTGAGCAGCCTGATGCCATAGTCCTGGGGAGAGGTGGGGTCTCCCGGGCCTGCTCAGGTCCCTGACCCCCAGTCCTGCCACCTACCAGGTATGCCTGAGTGCCAAGGATGTGTTGGCTGTGTATGGGCTGTCTGAAAAGACTGGGGTGACCCCAGAGGCCTGGGCCCAACTGAGCCCTGCCCTGCTCCAGCAGCAGCTGAGTGGAGCCTGCAGCCCCCACCCCAGCCAGCCCACCCAGGACCAGCTCAGCCAGGCAGAGAGTGAGTGCCTGTCTCCCCAGCCTGCCTGCCTGGCTGTTCCCAGGGATGCTAGCCACATGGTGGTGGGGCTGCCCAGGGAGGAGGAACTAAGTGCTGGGCTGGTGGGAGGAGACAGTGGAGTAGAGGGGTCACAGGGAAATGTGGGGGAGCCTGCAAGGGAGGACGATGGAGCTTTGAGGTCCAGGGGGATGGGGCACGAGCAGAGGCCTGGCCGGTACCTGTCCACCTACAGCCCTGGTGAGCTCCTGCTCATTCCTGGAAGCCCCCACACACCCTCCCCTGGGAAGGCTGAGAGGGAGGCTCTCACCTGGGTCCTCATTGCCCTCCTGCAGAGTACTTGTACAGCTCTCTGGCCACGTTGCTCATCTGCCTCTGCTCGGTTTTCGGCCTCCTGCTTCTCATCTGCACTGGCTGCAGCTCAACCACCCACTACATCGTCCAGACCTTCCTGGGCATGGCCGTGGGTGCGCTCACCGGAGATGCCCTCCTGCACTTGACACCCAAGGTCAGCCCAAGCTGGCCAGGGCCCTCCCTCCCCCACCCCAGGGACTCCCCTGCTTGGTCCTCCTTCCAGGCCCACTGTTCTGATGCCCTTCCCTAAACCCTAACCCCTCTTCTTCATCTGTGGGAGGGAGACCCTGAGGCAGCCAGCCCAGCAGCCTCCCCCCCCCACCAGGTTCTGGGGTTGCACCAGCATGGCAGGCACAGTGAGCTTGGAGGGGACAACCACCACCACGGCCCACAGCCCATCTGGCGCCTCCTGGTTGCACTTGGGGGCCTCTACACCTTCTTCCTGTTTGAGAAACTCTGTGACCTCTTGTTGCCCCTGGACCCTGAGGTCAGGTTTGTCGGGACTGGATGGGGTTAGGTGGATGGGGAGGAGGTATAACAGGCCCTGAGCTGCTGTCCCCACAGGACCTGAAGGACGAGCCCCGTAGTCACACTGGCCACAGCGGCCACAGCCATGGCATGTCTCTGCAGCTAGCGCCCAGGGAGCCCCGGCAGCCCAAACAGCCCCATGAGAGCTCCCATGCAGACCTGGTGAGCCTCCCCCACAAAGTGCCCCCTCTATGAGGGCACTTCCAGCACCTACACTCCCAGCCCCCATCCCAGGGTTCCTGCCCCTGGCCTCTGAGGCTGATCTGGTGCCCCAGCCCCACCAGGCCTGGCCAGGGGCTCATTCACATGGACACTCCCCTCCAGGTGGTGGAGGAGAGCCCTGAGCCACTCAGTCCTAAGCCCCAGAGACTGAGCCCAGGTGAGTCCTGCGGAGGCCCCAGAGGGTTGGGGGCCAGGGGTTTGGTGGCAGCCAGGCCTACTCAGACCCATGCCTCCTACACCTGCAGAGCTGAGGCTGCTGCCCTACATGATCACGCTAGGTGACAGCCTGCACAACTTCGCTGATGGGCTGGCCTTGGGCGCTGCCTTCTCGTCTTCCTGGAAGACTGGGCTGGCCACCTCCCTGGCGGTGTTCTGCCATGAGGTGCCACACGAGCTGGGTGAGGAATGCAGGGCTGGGACTCTGGGACTGCCATGGAGAGTGGTGCACTGGACCGCCTGACCCCAATCTGCCTGCCCCAGGGGACTTTGCGGCCCTCCTGCATTCTGGGCTGTCGGTGCCCCGGGCACTGCTGCTGAACTTGACTTCGGCGCTCACCTCCTTCGCTGGCCTCTACGTTGCACTAGCAGTGGGCGTCGGTGAGGAGAGCGAGTCTTGGATCTTGGCAGTAGCCATCGGTCTCTTCCTCTACGTGGCACTCTGCGACATGGTCAGGACAGAAGGCGTGAGGGTGTGGAGGGGGCTTCCCTGGCAGGGAGCTGAGCGGAATGCTCGGCTGACTGCTGACCCAATGTCTACCTCCTCAGCTCCCAGCCATGCTGAGAGTGCAGGACCGGCGGCCTTGGCTCCTCTTCCTGCTGCACAACGTGGGCCTGTTGGGCGGCTGGGCCATCCTGCTGCTGCTGTCTCTGTATGAGGATAGCATCACCCTCTGACGCTTCCTCCCCACTCTTGGGCCTTGAGTCTGGCTCCTGGCCCTATGTTGTCTCAGCCCCTTGGACCTACAGCTGGTACCTGGAGAGCCTCAGGCCTTTGAGAATCACCCTCTCCCATGCCCCAGCAGCTCGGTTTCAATAAAGATACTCCTGCCCTAGTTTCCCAATCTGCTCTTCCTGCTGAGAGGGAATGGTCTTCCACCAAGAAAGGCTGATGAGTGATGAGTGGGGCAGTGCCAGAGTTTCTGATGAGAAGCCAACATAGCTGTGTTCAGGGGCTTCCAGGCAGCCAGCACCCTAGCCTCAGACCATCCTCTAGTCCATCATCCTCCCTCCCAAGCAACTCCACTGATGAAGAGGACCCACCAGGTGGGCCCACCTTGGCCTTCCCACTGCCAGTCTGTGACTTCCGGCCCCTCTGCCTGGGTTGGAGCTGCACCCTACATCCCACTGCCCTCCTCAGGGCTGTGCTCCTTCTAGCGTATTTCTCTCTCTGAGCCCTGACCACCTCTCTCACACAGATGAGTTCTTGTTCACTTGTTAGGGCACTTGCCAGGCCAGTCTGACAGTCCTGTGGGCACAGACTTACTCAGTTTTCACTGGTGTCCTGTGAGGTGGGTGCTGTGACTGTCCATGTGACATGAATGCTGAGAGTTAGGGTTCTGCCTCTGTTGCCTCCTCCAGCACATCCTCACAGTCCTGGCTTCAGGACTTCTTATGACTTTTGAAGGGGTTTGGTGTGGCTCAGGGGTCACACACACGCCTGAACATCCAAGTGGCCCCTTTGTGCACAGCTCCACAGTCCAGATTCCGAGCCTTGTTGCTGACGTGAGCCAGCAGGCCAAATTGCATGCAATACGCATATATTTATATGCCATTTTCTTGGGTGTGACTATACTTTGTTTCCTTTCTTTTTTTATTTTTTTAAAATGTATTTTTCTTTTTATTATTATTTAAAATATATATATCTTTATTGATTTCAGAGAGAGAGAGAAACATCAATGATGAGAGTGTCGTTGATCAGCTGCCCCCTGCACGCCCCCCACTGGGGGTCGCGCCCACACCCGGGGCGTGCGCCCTGACCGGGAGTCCCGACCGCGATCTCCTGGATCCTGGGTCGATGCTCAACCGCTGAGCCACACCAGCCGAGCTCTTGTTTTCTTCCTTGTGATTCCGTTTCTAAGTCCCAGTGTATCTGGGGTGACTCCCTACCAAGGGAGGAAAGGTCTGCTTGGCTGTGCGAGGTCCTGGCTCCCGGGTCCAATTGTGCGGGGCCTGGGGAGGGGGCAAGACCGGGAGAAAATCGCTGTCCTAGGGGAGGGGCTCGCCCAGCGCGGGGAGGAAGTGGGCGCGGTGGGGGGACCGGCCAGCGCGTGGCCCCGGGTGCCACGGACTGGGAGCCTTCGGCGCCGGTTCTGGTGGGGACGGC